AAATGGTATATTTGTTTGAAGACGACAACGATTCTCATCGATCGTCGAAACGTTCACGTTTACAACCGAATCGCAAAACCGCTCAGAGACGACTATCCCGACGCCATTGGTGGTTTGGGACCGCCACAGAGAACGGCTTTGAAGCCGCGGCCAATGTCCCTCGACTTGCAGCAGGACCACCTCGTTTCCTGCACGGCACAGAAAGTCTGCTTCAACGAGCTCATAGGAGCAGCCTGCCGTTGCAACGCGAGTCTTTCATACGTTGCAGGACTTTGGACTAGCCTAGTTGCCCCCCGATGCCGTCCTTGCACCGGAGACCCTCGCATACTTTTCACACTCGCCGGGCTTTGCGAGTGCGCGTCGGCTCCCGCGGACGCCGTAGCATTATCTCGGAAATCATTAGCGTCATTAACCATGTGATGTGACGTGGGTGTTCGTAGGTCGGCCTGTTACCTGCATTCGAATGTCCGCGATCAGCTCATACCACAAAAGCGGGCAGTTCCCAGTGGCACCCCGTGGAGGAGCGGACCACACCACCTATTGGTGCTAGCGTAATGTCTTCTCCAAGAGTTTCGTGGGGACTATGAATCGTTTTGCACTGTAACACAATCAACAAGCTCGTCGTAGCAAAGGAGTGAATGTTCCTCGAAGGGTTCAAAGGAATGATCATCCCGAGTTTGGAAAATGTGAGGAATTCAAAGACTAAACACACAGTTACCAAAACAAATGTAGAGAATATGATATATCGAGAACTATCTTTATAATCAAAATTTCCAGGCGGCGCGCTCTCGTTACCGTAATTTTCGCCCACTCTGATCATGTGCCCACTTCTACGCAGCGTTCTTTGGCATCGCTAGACTGGATGGAAGCTTCCTTATCACACTTCTGTAAATTTGTTCTCTCCCCACGCAAAATCTGACCACTTGAAGGTAATAAACGCAAGGCTTAGAAGGAGGGGAGGTATTGATAAAGTCATTGAGCGTCACTGGTGGAATGGTGTAGGGAGGAGGTTCCAACCATGTTCTCCAGCGCGCTGACATCCAGGAGAAACTGCGCTTTTTTCAGAAAGACTTTTTGCATATTGTTGAGACGCACGTACAAAATACAGGATGGCTACTAAATATTGGCGCATGGTTAATTGACCATATTTCCAAAAAGAGAATCTATTAAATCTTCAGAGGTTTATCTTTATATACAGTAGAACATAACAATTCATTACTAGAGAAGATGCTCGGAAAGAAGTCCTCCGGCGGCGATACAGGCTTCAAGTCTCTTCTCAACTGACATCACCGTGGGCCGCAAGCAGTTTTCGTCGAGTTACTTCAACGCTTCCTCCTAGGAAGCCTTCAGGAAGTCGCGGCCAAAAAAAAAAAAACAAAAAAAAGCTTCGATATTGCCTAGAAGGCATCTTCTGCTGCAGGAAGCCCCACACCGCAAAATCCATTGGGTACAATCGGGTGAGTTAGATGGCCCAAACATCTGGTGACCAGTAACCTGGAAAATGGCGGTCACAGAACACCAGAGTAGATTTTGCGGCATGGGGAGGAGCCTATCTTGCTGAAGCAGACACTGACATTCTGCTGGAGGTCGAAACAGTCCATGGAACAAGCACATCACGTAAAATTGTTTCCTGGTAGATCTGGGCGTTAATTTTGACGGATTTGTCCACAAAGACAAGCGGTGTCTCGGTGTCGGAAGTAATTCCTGCCTAAATCATGACAGATTTTGGAAATCGGCTCCTTGTGTGCGCACGACGTCGAGCAGGATGCCTGCTAGCCGGATCCAACAATTGCCTGTCCTTTTGAGAATTGTGCGCCAATTCCAGTGTGATGATCTTCTCGCGTCACGTTGACGTCACTTACTTGCGGCCCACGGTGATGTCAGTTGAGAAGAGACTTGAAGCCTGTATCACTGCCGAGGGAGGCCATTTCGAGCACCTTCTTCAGTGATGCATGGATATGTTTTACTGTATGTAAAAATAAACTTCTGAATATGTAATAGTTTCTCTTTGCAAAAATATGGTCAATAAACCATGCGCCAATATTTAGTAGCCACCCTGTACAGAACCGTGTTCTACTTTGGCTACTTCGGTTTTAGCAGTGCCAAAGAATAGTGTAGAATCTTATAAAACTGTTCGATTCCTCGTAATGACAAAAGTTTGCATTTTGGGTTGGTGTTTCCTGATTGCCAAAAATGGCGTCAAATGTCAAAAACGGTCGTATTCATGATTTCGGGATCCTATTGGCACGAAACCGGTATGCGCCTGGAATGCTGATTTGTTACCAGGTCAAGCAATTTTTTGACTATTTTCCACTACCCTATGACACCAGTTGAAGTGTTCAAAAGAGCGAAGAAGGTTCTGCGTGATTTGAACAGTATGCAAGAGACTTTCTTGAATACCTGCGGAGTGCCCGTGACCTGAACGACCTCCTTTTGTGTGTGGACATGTTCCGACCAGTGACGTTTAATAGGCCAACATCCCGAGATATAAATAAAGCTAGTGCAAAGAGACGCGCTGCGGTAGTGACTGCCTGAGCTGCGCAATCTTGACTGAAAGTGGGAATCGAAGTCAGGAAAGAAATTAATGGGAAACGCTGGAAATTAAGGCCCTTAACCTCCAGTAAACCTTGATGCAGTCCGGCAAAGCCGCTGAATTGCTGTACATCGGTAGTGGTGGGTGGGAAGCATTGCAGCGAGGGTCGATGGTTGCGGGTTGGTGATGGGTTAGCGCCCATATCTCGCAATTGGGCAACGAAGCTGGCACAATCTATGGAAGATACGGACCCCGGAATTCCCCTCACGGTATCCTTCCTACTGGTCAAGCTAATCCTGGGGTCCGTCTTCAAACGTCAAATCGAACCCGCTCTGCCCCTGGCCTCATGTGTACTGTCTTTGAGGAGGTTGGCAGAGTATTGAGCAAGAGGATTAACAGTTCGCGTATATCTTGCACGCAAAATTAATAATTTACTTTCATTTAGCTTGTTGGTGCTAGCACATCATTGTAACACTTCTTTCGCTTCTACATAGTTATCTGGCACCTCTCCCAATAGTACAATGTATATAGCACATTGTATAATACTTTTAATCATTATCGCTAAACTGGTAAGTTTTACTGTCACTAGTACAGGCAAACATAGTTCTCTAACATTATGAGCATCTTTACATACATTTCAGTTTAATACTCTTAATATTAACTGTGGAAAGCACTGAAATGTGCGATAATACCCTAATCGAAATACAGGTTCAATAAATTCATGTATGTTCCAATTCGGCCAAGTATTTTTATTTTTCGATGAGTGATACCGTTAGTTTCTCAGACTCTATTTAATCGTGATTCAGATCGATCTCACACAATTGGTCATTCAACCAAGGATGTCTCCCGCTGAAGTGGGCTACATATTAAACACAATATCAAGAGGTTGTGATTCATTCGCAGCCATCTCATCCCATTGTATTTGTCAGTGAACACGATGCGATTCGGTGAGTTATGGGAGGGCTTCTCATAGTCAAGGTAACTGTAAAGCAGGGTAGCTAAAAAGGCAGCCCTTTTATGGCTAGGAGCCTATTCTTTCAAATGGTCTTTTGAACGTCGTAGAGGCTCGTGTGAGGGACACAGAACCATGGTCTATTTTTGTTGGACGACACCAGGAATTTCAAAGCAGCGTGGAAGAAATGGTCCAAAGTTTGATCCTCCGTGATGACAAATTTTTCGCAAGTTCCATGGTGCGCCCCAATTGCCAGCAAAACACGACATAGTAACAATATACTTGACCCTGCGGTCCGTGGAGGCCTCCGCCCGCCTGTTGCCCTTGGCGGGCCAGTGTCCTTCTTGGGGTTAAGAAATTCTCTGATTTCAAGAACGTAAAAAACCACGTTGGATAAACAGAGCGAACCGTTCGTTCGGCGCTATTTAACAATAGGGATCAACCCTTTTGATCTTAAAGGAGGATTGCACGGAAAGAACGAAGGTCGAAGAAGGGAGAAATCGCCTAGTGGGGAGAGCGGTGAATCTCTTGAGGGTGCGGACAGACACGCAATCGGCATCGAAAGATTTGACCTCTGAGATCTAGCATGGCTCAAAGTTGGCGAGTTCGGCGATCTCCGCCCACCGATCGTCTGATCACTCGCCGTAGTACAATAGGTGGCGAGTGATTAGATAGCTGAGAGAGCGTAGGGTTGAAGAGGGCAAAGCGATGAGAGTCCCATCAATGCTCAAATCAACGGACAAGGAAGGGGTCCCATTTCTCCGGTTCTGGGCCGTTTTTCGTGGTTTCGCTTTCTTTCTGGTACTACTCACCATCTCTACCTCAATTTGGAATGGGTTGCTTTTCCATCGTAAATTCGTCCTTTAAGAAGGGAAGATTTGAGAACTGAGCAGGAGTGTTTTGTGGAATGTGCGAACCAGCGGTCGTAAAAAAAAGGGTTTTGTGCACGGTGGATTTTGGCGAAGAGTTTCTATGATAAAAAATGAATTATATCGAACTTGTAATTAAAGGTCTCTCCATTACGGGAATCCTTATTCCGAACTACGCCAACGATCGAAGATCAGGGACGCTGCCGTTTTCGCCAAGGAATCGAAGATAAGGTGGGCCGGACACGTCATGCGATTTTGCGATGACCGTTGGACCAGAGCGGTTACCGACTGGATCCCTCGGGACGTCAAACGAACACCTGGACGACCGCCGGCCCGATGGTCACTTCTTCACGAAAGCTCTGAACGAAAGGAATGATGGACTTCGTGTCCCTCGAGCAAGGAGGATCCACTGGACCACCCTAGCACGCGACAGGGACGAATGGAGACGTTGCTGGCGCCCCT